ATTTTTCCTCTCAATCTTACTGGGACCTGATTTGCCGAATATTTATATAGTTACAATCAATCTGAGCTGGCAATCCATGTGATTAACCACAACAAGACATCTCAATCATTCAAACTTACATGACAAACACAAAATAACAAAATCTTGACCATAGGATCTGCACTATTTCTGGATGAGTGCACAGTATGGAGGTTGAGAGGTAGGTGAAAGAAGATGAACACTGCTGCTGCTTGAATCGTTCCAGACTTTAGTTTTAGTATAACAGCTAGTTGTAAAAACGTTGACGTTTAACCTTTGAACTAACAGACTTGGTCCTTGAACTAACGGACTTCATATGCAGCAGCAGAATGCAGTGGAGTTTAGCTTCAGATGAGTGCAGCTTGTGTACTGCAGACTTGCGGTGTTAATAATATGAAGCTAAGACAGTGATGCTAATATAGAGATTATCTGAAGATGACGAATTTGCTTTCAATCTATAAACTCAAGATTCCAGAACTTTTCACTCAAAGGCAGCCAGTTGCTTGAAGAGACAGTAGTGGGTGCACATTGAAAATGAAAGAGGCAGTTCAGAGTTCAATTCCATGGAACCAAGTTTCACATCACCTGAGTACAAAATGTTTGTAGATAATATACATAAACTTTGATCCTTTATTAATAAACATATGTTTTGAAACTTTGAACCTGAGAAAAACTCAAAATGTTAAAACAGAGCAGCACCTTCATGCCAATGAGCTCTAGCATATTGTCTGGCTGGCCATTACATGCAAGAGATATTTGACACTTTCTTCTTTTGACCAAAAGGCATAGATTCCTGGTTGACGCTCACAATAATTGAAAAATTTAACTAATGTAGCCTTCAACTGCAATACATGATTAGTTCTGTGAGACAGGATGCATAAAAAAAAAAAAAAAAAATGTTATATATATCACAAAAATATCTGAGTCTGCATCTGACTTTAAGATCTAAATATGAGAAAATCTTGCAATATTATATGAACTGGAGGAGATAATGATGAGATAAGTTAAGTATATAATAATGTGAGAAAACTATTGGCTGAGATAAGTAGCAGAAGTTGGAGAGATTATTGCTTCAACTGAGAGATGAAATGAAACAAAGAAAGAGATGGTAACATATGCCTCATTCCATTTTCAGCATTGTCCACAAGGGATCATTAATTTGCTTAAGTGACACCAGATTCCTGGAATGTTCTTCTAAAAGCAACCAGTTTTTCGAAGAAACAGACTTGGATGAACTTTGAAAATGAACGACACAGTTCACACCTCAAATCACCTAAGCGAGAACCGTTGGTGGATAAAACTGCGGTTCCTTCTTGTGACCAAAATGTAGAGTTACACGTTGAAGCAAACCATTATTGAAAAACAAAACTGCGGTTTTAAGGTGCAAAATACATTATTATTTCAGTGAAAAAGGATTCATAAACTGCGGTTTCATATATATTCGCCTAATTATCGAGTTTGAACATGACTTTAGATATAAATATGAGAAAACCTTACATTATTATGTATGTTATTCTGTGAAGACCAATAATCTAGCAGTTAGGTATCTTTACCACGAAAAAATTTCTGATTCTAGAAGGGATGACCATGTTCTGTTAATCACTTCAATTGAGGAGACTCTATAACGTTCCAAATCCTATAGCACAAAGAGAAGACTAATATGTTAATATGCTGCAATATGATAAATGAAGTTCAAATAATGAAAAATTGAGTGAACTATAGAAAATTGATCTTTCAACTTAAAAAAAAAAAAAAAAATGATTTCAATGTTTTTGTCTTAGCATCATTCAGTAATTTAGTAATTCAAGCAATTAACAAGCACTGCTAGCTAAATGTATCAATACTCCTAAACAGAGAAGAGCATAAGTTTCTTAGATAAGTTTCATATCTGGATATTTTGCTGAGAAATAAAATCTCTTTAATTCTGATAATGAAACTACCAATTAAATTTGATTATAGTAGAGATGTCGAAATTATGTTCAACACTTTAATTGAGACCCTGCAATTTGATAGGAAGCCACTCCAATAACTCAACAATTTGGGCTGGGTCATGGGTCTTTCATGGGCTTGGGTAGAACTTTCTTTGAAAAACCGGCTTGCCAAGGGAGGGTGCCCAAGCCTTTATAACTCACATGCACACCCTTTTCCCTTTTCAATATGGGATCCTAACATTCCCCCATGCTTCGAGACCCAACGCCCTTGTTGGTCTTCTTTCCAGAGAGCACCCGCCCTCATTGGCTATCCCGCCCTCATCGGCCTTTACTGCACTCCCTTTGAGTCTTACTTCGTCTAGAAGCCTGTCAGCAACTCTCTTTCTCGACCCCTTGGGGTGCCCATTGGACCCTGCTGCATGGGCTCCACGTCAGCCTCTTACCCCTTGGGTGACTTCACGGATCCCCTTTCCTTGGGGTAGCAGCCCGGGCCCAAGCTCAACTTGCCATGCATGTGCAGGATCATGCTCTGATACCAATTGATATGAACTCGCTCCAATAACTCAACAATTTGGGTTGAGTCATGGGTCTTTCATGGGCTTAGGTAGAACTCTCATTAGAAAACTGGCTTGTCAAGGGAGGGTGCCAAGCCTTTATTGCCCACATACCCACCATTTTCCCTTTCAATGTGGAATCCTAACACAATGTTTCAAAATCCTAGCTATTACAAAGATATGTAAATCAAATGATCAATTGTGAAAGTATGAAAAATGGTGTGAAGAAGTGATTTATTCCAAAAAAAAAAAAAAAAAAAAGTATAATAAAACAACTAATTAAAAAGAAAAGGAGAGAGGAAATTACCCGTGTTGGTCCCTTATTAATAAATACATGTTTTGAAGCTTCGAACCAGAGAAAGACTCAGGCTACTAAAACAGATCAGTTCCGTCATGCCAATGAGCTCTTGCATATTGTATGGCTGGCTATTACATGCAAGAGATAACCGACACTTTCTCATTCTGACCAAAAGGGATATTTTCCTGGTTGAAGCTCACAATTATTGAAAAATATAACTAATGTAACCTTAAACTGCAATACATGATCAATTGTGTGAGACAGGATAAAAAATGTTATATATATCACAAAATTATCCAAGTCTGCATCTGATTTTAAGATATAAATATGAGAATATCTTGCACTGCTATGTGAAGACAAATATGCTAGCAGCTAGGGAACTTAATTACCATGAAACACAATTTCTGATTCTCTTTTCTATTTTTCAGTTTAACTGAGAAGACTCTGCAATGTTCCAAATCCTGTTGCAGTAACACAAGACTAATATGTTAACAAATGTCCTATTTTTTTAAATTTAGGCAACTAACAAGCATTGCTAGAGTATCAATTTCTCCAAAACAGAGAAGCTAATTAAAGAACACATGTTTCTTAAAGTATCACCAGCTGGTCGCCTCTTGATATTCTCTCTTTTGTATGCCAGAGAACACTAGCTCTACTGAGAAACTAATATCTTCCCTATAACAATATAACATAATAAAATTAATAATTAGCAAGAATAATTGAAATGTACAAAGTTAGGATACAAAATCATATAAGAATTGCTAGTGTGCATCACCATAAAGTAACAATTACCTCGTCCTTGTGATTAGTATGCCTCACCATAAAGTAACAATTGCCAGTAGAAACCGATATGGCGAATTGATGGAGCCTTTTCACTTTATAATGATGCTTGATGTTAAACATTTCTTCACAAGATGTGTCATGGTTGTTTGTTGCAGCTTGAAAAGAAAAGAAATAAAAATTGATTTTTTTTAGTAATTTGTTTTTACAAAGTTATAGATTCAAGATTATATAAGATACCCTATGGCTAGATTACCGTGTCCAATTCACATCCAACAACATAACACAACAATTTCTTAAATAAAACCGTGGCAAGCTGAAGGAGCCTTTTCTGTTTTGAAATTGCAATGATGCCTCGTATTCAACATTTCTTTCACAAGATGTGTCCAGTGCAGGATTTCCTGGTTGCTGCAGCTTGAAAAGAAAAGAAAACAAAACTTTAGCATGAGTTAACTTTAAATTAACAAAAATGGAGTAAAAAATATAAATTTTCTCTTAAAAACAGGATGTAAGACCAAATTATGAAGTTGAAAATCCAACAATAAGTGCAGAGGATGTTAAAATTGATTTTTGAGTAACATTTTGACTTTATGTTGCTTTTATTATTTATTCAAAAAGTTCTAAAAATATTGCTTTCACAAAAAGCTCTAAAAATATTGCTTTCACAAAAAGTTCTAAAAATATTGCTTTCACAAGCAGTAACACTAAAGAATCTCGTCCAAAAAATTTTCATCATAAAAAAGAAGCTAACCGGTAAGGAGAGAAGAAATTACCTATGGATTGATCATGGTTGTAGCATTTTGAGAATTCAAAGGTTGTCACTTGGCAGAATCAAAGTTGAAGTTAAGACTTGAGAGATGCTGGTCAAAACTGGATGAGACGATGATGAGCTATCAATTCACTCAAGCTCTTTTGGGAACATAACAAACACTAATTTCTGAATCTAGTAGAGATTTTCTTGTTATGTTCTTCACTTTAACAGAGACCATGCACGGTTCAAATCCTATTATTTTGAGTAGACAAAATGAATTTGTTACATTTACAGAAAAACATAAAATATCAATGCAAACCGATGCTTAAATTACAAGCTTTATAATAAGAGTATAATTAGATTCATTAAGATGATTAAAGAGTACAAAAATGGTGATTGATAATTAGGGTATTAAATATTAAAGATGTGAGTTATTGTCATAAAAACAAGGAATGTAATTAAAAAACTAATTAAATGGGAAAAGATAGGAAATTACCTATGGTTTGAAGGAAAATCAGTGTTGAAGTTGATAATTTCAGAGAACTTAATCAGTATCAGACAAAGATGATGATCAACTATCGCTTCTCTATCCTTCAAGAAGAGGACATTCAACTATTTCTTTCTTCAATGTTGTCATCTGATGAAGGTGGTTTGGTAGAGATGTCAATTCAGGGCAGTATAGAATTTGCAGGTTCTAAAGAGATGTCGTAATTCCACTCTCTCCATTCTTCCATCTCCCAGAACCAAAGTGATTTCAGTTTGGGAAACGCAATAATTGATGTAGATGATGACGTGGCATCACTCTCTATTCCCAAAAGCTCATTACCCACTCTTTTCAGGCTCTTCATTCCATCTATCACAAGAATTTCAAGGGATGGCAACCTACCCAAAGGAGACAAATGCTTATAGTTTATGCAACCCAAAGAAATAACATTCTCAAATTAATTTATGGCATCATCCAATTAGGGAAAATAGTGTTGTCACTGTAATTTCGTAGTTTTAATATCTCTAAATTTGGATGTGGTTGCAACTCCTCAAGAAGTTCTTGATTTTGCTCCTCATTCATCCTCCCCTCAAAGTCTACATACAAATCACGCGAGTTTTTCTTATTTTTTAACTCTATTCCCTTAACCTCATCCATATCTCTCCAATTTCCCAACCCCTTTATAGCAAATTCTCGAAGGTGATTGAAGTTTTTTAGACATTCAATAGAACATGTTTTGCTACCATAACTGCCCTCACTTATAACAAATAATTGTAATGTTCGCAGACCAGTTAATCTCCATAAACTTTTTGGCATGTAACTTATAGGAGTCCCCCCATTTAACAAATGTCTCAAGTTGATTAAGTTTCCCATCCCTTGTGGTAGTTTTGTGAGATTTTCACACAAAGTGATGTTTAAGGTTTGTAAATTATGTAACCCACACAATGTCTCAAGAAGTTCTTTTATGTCTTCATTCCTAGACAAGTCAAGGTACCTCAAGTGTATAATTTTTTTTTATTTCTATTGGAAGTTCTTTGATTGAGCAGCCACTCAAAGATAATAACCTTAGACATGTAAATTGATCAACTAATTTGGACAAAACTATCTTAGGGTCAGTACTGTAATTACAATCAACCACAATGCTATGTAGAAAAGTATTTCTAGTATAAATAGAGCTAGGAAATGAAGCCTCTCTTTGAATCTTCATCATTGAATGTCTAACTTTATCATAAGAAGATTCTAATTCAATTTCTCTTGTATCATCAACCTCTATTGTATAACATTCATTTTTGGTAAGAAATTAAGAAAAATCATGCACTATATCATGCATCTTGCAAGAACCTATATAAATATCATAGTCACTTTGTTCAAAATCTTGAAAGAAAGAATGCATTGCCAAAGTTTCGAAATACTCTTCACCAACTAAGTCCATATCCTTATTTGGTTTTGACTCGACATAACCTTGAGTCATCCATAACCTAATCAATTGTTCTCTCTTTATCTTATAATCCTTTGGAAAAATAGTACAATATGAGAAACATTTTTTCAAAGTAGGGGGTAAATCATAATAACTTAATAGTAGAGGTCGAAAAACGTCTTGTTCTGCCTCTTCTAATTCCCAAATTTCACTCTCTAAGATATTTTTCCATTCAACAATTTTTCTTTTAAAACACAAAAGACTCGCTAAAGTCTTTACTGCAAGTGGCAAACCCTTACACTTATGAACAATTTTCCTACCAATTCATTAGATTTTTCATTGCTTTTTCCTAAAAACGCAACTTTACTAAACAATGACCAACATTGTTCCTCAGATAATGTCCCCAATGGGATCATTTGGTGGTCCCTATGACATTTGCAACTTACTCCTTACGTGTGGTCACCAAAATTCTACTTTATGGAGACCCATACTTAAAAGAGCGCTTCAATTTATCCCAATTTTTGGGATTTTTAGTCCATATATCATCTAGGACAAGAAGAAACTTCCTTCCGTCAATATGTCAGCATATGTTTTGCACCACAGTTTCTAACTCATTTAAGTTTGGTGCACTATTTGTGAGAGATTCAAGGATTGCTTTGGCAATTCTAAGCTCATCAAAAGGCTCAGAAACACACATCCATATTTTTTTTTCAAAATGGGTGTTCACCTGATCATCGTTATATACTAATTGAGCAAGAGTAGTCTTACCAATTCCTCCCATCTCTACCATAGAGATAATTTGGAGGTCTTGTGCATGACTACTCTGAGTAAGCAAAAAATCTATTATTGTATTCTTGTCATCATCTCTTCCATAAATCTGTGTTAAATCAATAATAGAGGTTGTCATTGGTCGTTGTACTTCTTTGCTACTCTCAGTGATTGATCTAAATTGGAATCTCTCTTTCTCAGTAGCAATAATATCTAATTTCCTATCAAGATCTTTCATCTTGAGAGCAATATCATAATGCAGAACCGATGGCCTACAACTAAGATAGTAAAGAATGAGTGAACATGCCTTTTTTAGAGGCTTAGAAGCATCTTTAGCTTTCTTAATTCTTAAAATTTGAAGCTTCGTGTTCCACTCGTCCAACACATCATCTATGTCATAGGACACGTCTTTGAGCTTTGCCAACCAAACTCTCACAGTGTTCTCCTTCACCTGTCGATTCTCAGCATCAGTAAGCACAATTTGAAAGGCCATGAAATTGCTCTAAAGCTTCTCAACCTCTTGGTCAGCACCCATAATCAACCTTATTCCTTCTTCCACTTGTTGACGACCGATGGAAGCCAGTTGTTTCAAGACAATAGAAACAAGAGCTTTAGCCATATTGAATGATGGTAATTGATTACACAAAGATTGATCAAAAATTGAAATATCTAGTTTGCTTATGTTGTGATGAAGATATCTTTACTCAAAGAATAATTAAGTTTCCTTTACACTTTTAGCTTTACTATAACTTGAGATGGAAATAAGTTTTGAGTAAAATTTTGAGAATGACAGATTATTTGAATCTTGAAAAGCAAAAGGTCTGCAAAATGTCACGCTTTTCCTCTGTTTTAAGACTAAAAATATATGGTCTTGATGGATAATTATATGAAAACAAAGTTGTTTCAACAAAATATAGCATCACAATCTATAAAGCTTGAAAATTACTTGAATAATAATTTTCACCATTGCTTGATGATGAATAATTCATTCATGTAATAGAGAAATAATCAAGAAATATATCATATATATTATTTTGCTTGGCAAACAACATAATTCTATGAGAGGAGCTTTGTATGTTTACATGGGCCTTAAAGTTATGGATCGGGCCCAAACATAAACTGTTGGTCAAAAGCAGCTGAGTATGGCCTAAAAGATTCACAAAAAGGTGTAAGAGAAATGTTATACATTTTATTTAGTGTGCCAAAATTCTTTTGTCAAGTTATGTGTTATCATATGCGATATCATTACATCATTCCTCTCGTCAGATTGTTAATTACATATGAAAACACATCATGTGAAATAAGAGTATATGGATATTATTTGCATGGTGTTATATATATTAGTTTTTAAATACAAATATCTTCTCAAGGGATTTAGGTTTTATTTTCTTGAAGTACGACTTCTTAGTTCTAGCAAATGTTTTTATCAATTTTAGAACAATACTGAAAAATAATCACAAAAAAAATCTTATCAATTTTACAATTATTCTCAATCCAATCCAACTTAACTTCAATTCTAGAACCAACCCCAAATTCAACAAAATTTCCACAAGTAAATTCATGGAATCAATTGAAAATGATAAATAAATTAATAATTTATCTTTCATGTAACAGGTTTTAGATTATTCAATTTTATGATTAAAATAAGTCAATTTCCTCATTTACATATCAATAAAACTATGCTTACTCACAATCTTACTGACTATCTTACTATCCTTTGTAAATATAACGCATAGTACCCATACTATGCATTATATTTACAAAAGATAGTAAGATGATTAGTAAAATGGTGAGCAAGCATAACATTACTCTTTCCATATATCATATACAACAATCTGATCTCACCTCCCCACTTTATCCAAAAACAAATTTATATAATAAAAAAGATTGTCCAATTCAAAGTTTGCTACTCCCACTAATTGATGTGACACAATATTATTTAAAGTGAATGTAACCAACTCGTTTAGACTTCACTAATAATTAAGGGTCATATGGTTTGTTATTTTGGATCAGATTTTGAGAATAATATTGGATATTTGAATAGAGTGATTATTACGAGGTAAAATTTAAAAATTAACAAAAAAACTCCTTAAGTTTGCTAATTTAACTAAACACCCCAATATATAAAAAAATTGTAAAATAACAAAAATCCCCCACCCACCCACAGTGCCAGATTCCGACCACCATCGTCGGATTCTGGCCGAAAAATGGTGTTACGAGGCAAAGCAGTCAGATCTGGTCGGTCGTACATCAATTTGGCCTAGATCTGGCTGTCGATGGCCGCAAAAGGCCAGATCTAGCCGTCGCTGGCGGCCAGATCCACCGTGGAGCTGGTTGGAAAAGGCCTGATCGGCAAATTACCAACCAGTTCCGATCATTTCTACGCCGTTGTGACAGATTCTGGCTATCACCGATGGCGGTTGCCGGAATCTGACAACTATGGGTGGGTGGGAGTGTTTTTGTTAATTCTTAAACTTTTTTCTAAGAGTGTTTAATTAAATTAATAAACTTAAGGGGACTAAAAGTAATTAAATAAAATATAATAGTATTTCCTAAATAATTAAACAAACAACTATTTTGGGAATAGGATAGGGAACATGGTATGAAATAATAAAACAACGGACTCAGGCTTCGTTTGTTTCGCTTTTGGAAATACTATTCTTAGTTCCCAAAAAAGTTAAACAGTAAAATGTCATTATTCCCAAAATATTATTCAATATTTTTTAATTTCTTTTAAACCTCATAAATTTGTTAATTTAACTAAACACCCTCAAATATTTTTTTTAGAAATTGCAAAGACACTTCGGCCACCCTCCGACGGTGGTGGCCAGCTGTCCATATTTAATGGGTGGGTTGGGGGTGTTTTTGTTAACTTTTAATATTTTATTATAGGGGTGTTAGTAAATAAACAAATATAGGGGGTATTTTTGTTAATTTCTAAATCCTACATCGTAATACCCGCCTAATTTAACTTTTTTCAAAATATTATTCTAAAAACTATCAAAATAATGAACCAAACGGAGCTGTTTCTTTGAACATTTTTTTTTTTTTTTTTTTTGTTAAATAGGAAGTCTTTTCAATCTATAAACTATGATAATGATGCAAAATGTAAGTCATTTAAAGGAATGAATTTGAATGATTTTTGTTGGCAGAAAATGACCTTTACTCAAAGAATAATTAAGTTTCTTTTACACTTTTAGCTTTATTGTAATTTGAGATGGAAGTAAGTTTTGAGTAAAATTTTGAGAATGGCAGATTAAGTGAATCTTAAAAACCAAAAGCTCTACAAAAATCTCATCTTTTTCCTTTATTCTAAAACTGAAAATATATGGCCTTGATGGATAATTATTGAAACAAAGTTGTTTCAACAAAATATTGCATTACAATCTATAAAGCTTGAAAATTAGTTGAACAATATATATTTTTTTTTACTTAAAATACTGGTTAAAACAGTTAAAATTTGTTGTCAAAATCTTGGTTAAATATATGATTTTGGTTTGAAATTTAGTGATTATATTATAATCATATAAGCATTAACATTTCAAGTTTCACGATTGCTTGATGATGAATAGTTCATTCTTGTAATAGAGAAGTAATCAATAAATATATCATATATTTCAACAAGCTACTCTTAAAGAAAGAAATAATGTGATGCAAAGTGTAGAAGACCATTTAAAGGAAAGAATTTGGTTGATTATTGTGGCGAGAAAATGTTTACTCAAAGAATAATTAGGTTTCCTTTACACTTTTAGCTTTACCATAACTTGAGATGGAAGTTACTTTTTCTAAATTTGGAGAATGGCAAATTATGTGAATCTTGAAAAGCAAAGGCTCTGCAAAATTCCATGTTTTTTCCTCTGTTCTGAGACAAAATATATATGGCTTTGATGAAAAACTGTATGAAAACAAGGTTGTTTCAAACAGAATATTAGATTATAAAGCTTGAAAACTGGTTAAATATTAAACTTTAGACTTGAAACATTGTTTTATAGGTTCTCTTTTATGGTTAAAGCCAGTAAAATGTATTATTCTGGTTTGAAACTCAGTGATTATATTATAATCATATAAGCATTAGCATGATCCCTATCAAGTTTCAGCATTGCTTGATAATGAATAAATCATTCATGTAATAGAGAAGTAAGCAAGAAATATATCAGATACATATTATGATTTCTTATAACGAAGAATATAATACCATATGAGAGGACCTTAGTATATTTAGATGGGCTTTGGGCTAAACCCAAACTGTTGGGTCAAAAGCAGCTGAGTATGGCTCAAAAGTATGCACAAAAAATGAATATGAGAAATGTCATGCATCTTACATAATATGTCAAAATTCTCTTATCAAGTCATCTGTCATCATATGCGACATGATTATGTCATTCCTCTCAAAGGATTTAATGTGAGAATAAGATATGAGTATTTATTCACGGGTCAAAATTTTAATGTGTGTTCATCATAAAAACTTGACAACACTTGTTGGGTATTGTGATGAGGGCACAAACATGGCACTGATCTATGAGTTCATGGCTAAAGGAAACGTACATAAACATCTCTTAGGTTTGTTTACCGTTTAATTTAATTTCATGGCTCAAAATTTTAGCTCGTTCAATTTGATCTGTTTCACAGCTACATATATATTAGAAATATTGTTGATCCGAGATTACAGGGAGACTTTGACATAGACTCTGGCAGGAAAGGTATAGAATTAGCAATGACTTGTGTTTCTTCAACTTCCTCCAAAAGGCCAACCATGAATCAGGTAGTAATTGAACTGAACCAGTGTTTAGCAATTGAGATAGCTCGTAAGCCCGTGGCCAATGACACTGAATCAAAACACGGCATTGAATCCATCAATTCAAATCTTCAAATTGAACTATCTTCCCTAACAAGGTAATACTTTGTCGATATATGTCCTGCTTTAGTTTGTATGAATGAGCGTGTTTGTATACCGGGTTGATCTTCTACTTCAGTTGCTGTGTTCTTCAGGAGAGAGAATAAAAACAAAAGCAGATAAGGTTTCTATACATTGCAGTTAATTAATGTAATTTGTTTTTGTGAAAAATGAACTGAAATTTTACAATATTTTTATATATTGGGGTTTTTTTTTTATAAATTTTTAAATTTTATCTCGTAATATTCCCCTATTCAACTACCCAATATTATTCCCAAAATCCTAGCCTTAAAACATTCACACCTTTAAGGTTTAATGGAAGTGGTTAGGCTCAAAGGTTAATAAGTGATATTACAAGCCCAAATGTTATAATAATTTACTATTGTTAATTTAATCCGTTAGATGGAGGGGTAACATTGGAAATATGCTAAAAATTAATCTGATCTGAAAAAACAAAAGAATTTATCTTTTTTGTGTAAATGATAGTACAATTGACCATGAGTAACAAAAAGACAAAGTAAACAAATAATTTATCTTATAAAATACACCTATCTATTTTTTTTAACATTTTTTATTTTATTTTCTTAATTTTAAAATTT